GTTGGCCAGGATGGTCTCGATTTCTTGACCTCGTGATCCACCCGCCTCGGCCTCCCAAAGTGCTGGGATTACAGGCGTGAGCCACCGCGCCCGGCTGAGTGTCAAACTCTGAATGATTCTCAGAAATCCAACTCCCAGCTCAAGTTCCAGTGGAACTACAGAGAACAAATGAGTCCATGATTACTGGTCCTGAATGTGGGTATAAAGTTTTACACTAAAAGTACCTTGTATTTTTTTTCCAAGGCCAAATTATAATAACTCATTTTCACCCTGGAAGTGTGTTTATAAAAAACAGATTGCATTTGCAAACAGCAGAGAACAGTGGTCTTTTTATTTAAAAAAAAAAAAAAAATCTTTTCTGTGGAAAAACAATGTAAAGTTTGCATGTGTGTTTACTGGCCTGAGGACTTAAAGAACAAAGATACCTTGTGGATTGCAGGCAAATGAAACCTACAGGGGTTTGCTTTGGGTAGATTTCACCGCAGGGGTGTTTGAATAGACCACTTTGCAAATAATAAATTACTTAACACTTAAGGCCACTAGAGGTCACTAAAAAGGAATTTATGGCCAAAGCACAGGGCTGGTGGCTGGCTCAGTGGGCGGTGGCAGGATATTAATGAGACTCAGAGCCTGGATGTGCTCTGGGTCCAGTTAAATTGAATAGAGTTGGAATACCACCTGCCCCAGCCACTGATGCACTTAGGATTCGTGCCTTTGAGTTTGACCATCTGAGCCTCTAGGGACATTGGGGAGGAGGGGGAGGAGGAGAGGAGGCAGTGGCAACAGCAGTATGGATGTTTCCTGCAAACCCTTCTGTCACCAAGGAAAGCAGTCTGTGCACATGCATTTCTTAGCCTCTCTTCTAGGATAAAGCCTAGTTGGACCAGCACTGCAAGGTTGAAGTGTTGTTGCTGCATCTTGAGGCCGGAGCCAGAGCACGTGGCCTCCCCTTGGTCCCTGCCGTGGTACCCAGAGTCACCTGTAACATCTGTGAAGCCAGGATGAGAGTGCAAATACCCTCCAGACACTGATCTCTCAATATTTACAAGTCACACATGCAGATAAACTGTGAAGGAAAATGTTCTAACCAGTTATCTTGACAAAAGTACCTTCTTAATGACTTGGAAGACCAGGTCGAAATGGTAAATTATGAAATTCTTGGAAATCTGCTGCAGAATATGGCATTGTGGGGACAGCTGAGCTGATCGCCCATCCCCAGCTCCACCCTGTTCCTTAGGGGTCTATGAGTACCTGTGTGGACATCCCACTCTGCGCATCCAACCTCTATTCACATTCCCCGCCACCATCCTGGGGGCCACTCAGTCTGGCTGAAAGCAGGGATGCTGGGAAGGTGCCCATATCCAAGCTTGGAATCATTTTTGCCAGAAATCTGGGGCTCCAAGTGTGATATTGTGCTGTAGCGGGCCTAGAGTCAGAGCCTGAACAATATCATTTTATAAAAGAAAAAGCTGTTTTTTAAAATAAGTTGTAACAGCTGCCCCATTCTCCTCACCCTAACTGCTGGCCTTGGCTTCTGTAAATAGAACTGCTAGTTTGTTCTGCAAACTATGTAAAGCTGCTTACCTTTTCTTATTAGTAACTGCCAGAATTGCTAGGCTTTGCTTACCGGTAATAACCAAAATAAGCAGCCCAAGCTAATTCCATCCTGGCTCCTGTGACTTGTAATAAGTAACTAAGATCTGTGACTTCTAACACTACCCAGACAATGTGTAAACAAATGTTTATCTTGACTTCTGTCAACCACTTAAGTAACAAGTGGAATGACAAAAGTCCCCTGGCCCTTGGAATGTCCGGAGACCCCCACCCTCATCTCTGCCCAGGAGGTGATTTACAGAATCCACTAGCCCTCGGAATGTCTGAAGACTTTTCATCCCCATCCCCGCTCCTCACCCCCACTCCCAAGGTGGTTTTCCGGGTATAAAAAGTCTTGGCACCCTCCTTTCGACACCACAGGTTGGAGAGACGTGAGTCCTCTGTGGTCGCCAGCATAATAAATGACCCTGCAATCTGGCATACTTTTGTCTTGGTGCTAACTTTCTACACTCGCTCCCGTACAACACAAGTACCCAGAAAATGTTCTAGAAGGGGACACGTTCCAGGTGGCCATAGACTCCTTGCTCCCTGGGGAAGAACGCAGCTGGAGGAGGACTGGAGCAGATCCCCCAAAGCACTGGACCCAAGATAGGGCCCCTCTTGCCCAGGTCCAGGGCCGTACTAGTGGTACCCGCTGTCACCACGGCATTCATTACTGATGAATTAGACTGTGATGCTGGAATCCTCTAGTCATAAGGTCTTCAGAGCAAGTCAGTAAGACAAGATATTGACTCTTCTCGGGGGGGATCTGAGATGTTGGATTTGAGTTTGAAATAAAGTCATCTTGGGCGCATTTAGCAACTGCAGGCTGCTCTTCCAGGAGCTCCGCATGCAGCCTCAAGAAATGCATCCCTCCACGCTGTCCTTGTCAGGCCTGCACCTGCTGACTTAAGAAGGGAATGTAGGTAGGTAAGAGAGATGGTGCATGCAGGGTTCAGAGGACCTGTGGCCAAATCCCGCTCCATCACTGACAGGCTGCGTCCCCCCAGCAAGTTACTTCCAGACCCAAGCCAGCTCTCTCAATGGCAAAATGGAAGTGATGAAGTCACAAAGAGTAGGTGGGCCGGGCGCGGTGGCTCAAGCCTGTAATCCCAGAACTTTGGGAGGCCAAGGCGGGTGGATCATGAGGTCAAGAGATCGAGACCATCCTGGTCAACATGGTGAAACCCCATCTCTACTAAAAATACAAAAATTCAGCTGGGCATGGTG